AGGTGCTCTTTAATCAGGAGCTGGCGCTGAAGCACGTGGCCATTCTCCAGCCAGTCTGCACATTACAATCACCTTCTCAATAGCACCCAAGCCCAGGCGTCAACCCTGACCAATTAAATCGGAATTTCTAGGGATGGAGCCCAGCACGGTGTCCTTTTAAAGCTCCCCAAGGAGTTGTACTGCGTCACCCGAGTTAAGGGCCTTCGCATTAATGAAACGAATGCGGACCCGAAGCTCACCGCGACCCCAGCCCCAGGGAGCCCCAGTGCAGGGACGCCCCCTCACGGCTCGAGCCTGAGCTTCTCCCGCCCTGCCCCACGGGCTCTCCCAACCCACAGCCTGACCACCTCGGGCATCCCCGCAGACAGCCCCCGGGACTTCCAGAGAGGACTGCTTTCCCGTCCCCCACGGTCCGTCCTTTGGGCCGAACTGGCCCCCAGTCCGGCCCGCTCCTGCCCCTGAACCTCGCCGCGTTCAGCCCCTCACCGCAATCGTAGCAACCGATGCCTAATCGCGGCTGCCCGGAACCAGGTGCGAGCCTGTGGTCCGGCGCATCCAGGGCTGCTCCCCCAGCCTCTGTCTCCGCCCCCGCGCAGCGATTGGCTCTGCCGGCCACCGCCTGCAGGTAGGTGCCCGCGCGCGAGGCTGCCGCCGCCATATTTGTCTTGGGCGCTTGCCCTTAGGGACCGAAAGAGAATGCGGAGGCTAGCAAGACGGGTGCGGGTTTGCCGGGATTCCTGACCTGCTCATCCCCTCCTCAAGGCTTAATGTCATTCCAGTTTGAGGAAACAGTAAACAAAATGGAATCAGCGTACTCAAACTGCCAAATCAGAGTAGGCTGAGGATGAGGAAATGACTCTCTTCTTGCTTTAAAGAGCCTGGGAACGTAAACGTATGGCCTTGCCAACATTGCGCATCAGTGCTGAAGACAGGCATGCGAACTTGTAGGTAACCCTCTGAAGATCTTGGGAAAGAATGTTCAGTGCCCAGAAACTCTGACATCTGGACCCACCCAGAGGCTGAGTGCCGGGCTGATTCTTCTCAAGAACGCACTTTTTGCTGTAAGAACTCAGCTTTTCTTAATTCTTCAGAACTCTCTGAACTCGTTGTAGTTCCCATTTGTAAATCTCAAGACCCTCAAATAAACCTTTATCATTTATTTCTAGCCAAAGCCTCTTGATTCACTTACAATTAGCCAGCAAGTTTAAATCAACAAAGCTTTTCTGAGTGCCCCCTCCCCTCTCCCCATCCTTCCTTAGCATTAATTCAGAGAATGAGGAGAGCTCAGCCCCTCTCTGCAGGTCTGACTGGATGCACATCTGAGGCAGATAAGGAAATAACAGTGACACCACCTGGGACTCCCTGATGCTGGACCGTGAGACCCAAGACCTGTCAGCCCCAGCTTCAGCTGTGGGCACAGGCGCCCGGCCCTAAGAGAACCAGCATACAGCCCAACCTCCTCCTATTAGTAAGTCATAACAAAATATCGGGAGTAATGAGCCCTCACTATGTGCCCTGTACTGCATCAAGAACTTTATGTGCATTCTCTGTTGAGTCTTCACATCGTTCTTTGGAGGTAGGTGCTATTATACACATTTTCCAGATGGAACTGAAGCTCAGAGATTCAATAATATTCACACTATAAGCAACAGGTCCAGACAAGCTGGAATCCAGCTCTCCGGATTTCCAGAATAGAAGTCTTTTCCCTTCTTACCCTTGCAAGCCCTCAAAGTTTTGTTTTGCTCAGTGCAATGTGGTGAGGATGTCCCATGTCTCCTCCCAACAGGCTTGTACCCTGGTTACATTTCCAGGTCATCAAACAGCACACACTCCAGACTGCTGCTTCCTAACCCTGGGAGACAGGGCAAAGAGCACGGCCTTTGGCAGGCCTGGGACCCCATCCCCTAGCTCCACCACCTCTTTGTTAAGGTACACTCCTTTTGTGAGCTTCTGTTATGGCTTAGGGAGGGATTGGGGGGCACTAAATGAGAAACAGGGGCATAAGAGTCTTGCACACTTTTGGTCTATATGCCTTTGTTGCTTGTTGTCAACGGGAATATCATTCTCTCCCTCTGTCCGGACAACCTGGTAAAGGGCCACCCACAGCTAGTGGTCCAATACAAGAGCCCTGGTGTCAGGGGGCTAGAGGATGTTCAACCAATTCTTGGGGAGTCCCCAGGGATTTCCTGAATCTTGCCCTCAGCATTCATTTCCCACCAGTCTGCCTCCTTTCCCTTCTCCCCATCCCTGCCCCTTCAGACTCTTCTTATCTCCTATGTCTCTCCTAAGCCACATACACACACACACACACACACACACACACCATCACCATCACCATCACCATCACTCTTAGACTCCACGCCATTTCAGCAACCCCTCCTGCTTCAGAGAGCCCTCATGACTAGAAGGAAAGCAATCATTTCTCCCCATCCCTACCCTTACCCCCATCTACGCATTCCTGGCTGTGAGAGTAGAGGGCAAGAAACCCAGCATTCAACACAGAGCCTGGCACAGTAAGGCCTTTGTAAACTGAGAGAGTGCTCCTGCCTTTCTCTCTCTGGCCAGCATGTTCCTGTCAGAGCAGAAGTCTTTAATTAGCCCTCCCTGGGTGTCTAGTTGGGGAACGAGGGAATGGGGAGAGCTGCCAAAGGGCCAGAACTACATGTGAAACAACAGGAAAGACCTTGGCCTATGTTGCACTTAATGCCCCATGGTTACACTTGGAGGCTCCTTAGCCCTCTGGTTTTACAGACAATATAACCAAGTATCCTTTTGTGTTGTCACCAGGGCGGGACCTTGTGATTAGGTCTGACTTCCCTTCCTGGTTGCCAAGCACAGAGCTCCCTGGGAGGTGATGTGGGGTGTGACTGAAGGTCATATTGCCTGCCTGACTTCTTGAGTGGTTTCAGAGTCCCTGGAGCCTGGGGCAGGTAGATACACGAACACTCTCCTTCCTTGGCTCCTGACCTCTCTGATCCAGGTTCCACCATGTTCTCCTCCTATCTAACAACTTCTCCTCAGTCCCCTTCACTTTCTCCAGGGCTTGCTTGAGCAAGCCTCTACCTTTAGGTAGAGGGAGGGTCCTCCAAGTTTTCGATACTCTTTTCATCTGTTCACTGAGGCTTGTCGGGGCCATTGGCTGTAGGCAGTAAAGTGGACTTCACAAACAAGATTCCTGCCCCCAAAGGCATTAAGCAGAACCCAGTAAATTAGCAGCCGTGACAGTGTGATGCAGGCCAGAGCAGCAGCTGTTCTGGTATAACTTCACCTATTCCCTCTTCCTGTACTACTACCCACCGCCCATCTCTAGCCTGGAAATAAAACTGCTGCTGGACAGCTCCTCAAACGTCCCAGCTGAACTCACCAGTCCTCAACTTCCAGTTGCTGACTAGGGTTTTTGCTTTTTAAATCTCCAGGATTGTCTTGACTCCCAACCTAGGCAACCAGGCCCAAAACTTGTTTATCCACCTCTTTTCTACCTTCTCCAGCCAGGCAGTTACTGAAGGTCAGGTCCAGGTGAATCTGCTCTCATCTCTGTGTTCCTTCCCTTGTGCCTATTTTGTCAAGTTTCCTGACTGGAAGCCGGTTTCCTCCAAGACTGGCTTCCCACCTCTCTCCTGATGACGTATCCCTGCTTTGTGGACAAGAGCCTCTGATCCTGGGGGTCCTGAGATTCACCGAGCAAAAACTACTCAGGTTGCTGTATTTGAAAAGTTTTCATAACAAAATGCTGGGGGAAGGGAACACTCAGTGCATGTTGTTGATGAAAACAATAGAGAATTCCACTCCACAGTATAACAGCCCAAATATTTAATTTTCTAAAGACTAAGGTGATGGTGCTCTGGAATAATAAAATGCCCATTTCAACTTCTTCTCTAGTTAAACTATATGAAGTAAACACAACAGACTATGTGGAAAAGGAAAAAAGACTCCACCAAAATGAGACTAAGCAAGAAAGGTATCTAACCGGGAAGTGGTGGTGAGGGGGGATCAGATGGAGGTGGTCAGAAGGTCAGAAAGGTGCAAACTTCCAGTTCTAAGTAAATCAGTACTAGGGCTGTAGTGGACAACATGGTGGCTGTAGTTAACACTGCTGTGTGGTAGATTTGGAAGTTGTTAAGAAAGTAGATCCTGGTCCTGGCTGGTGTAGTTTAATGGATTGAGCACGGGCCTGTGAACCAAAGGGTCGAGGTTCGATTCCCAGTCAGGGCACATGCCTGGGTTGCAGGCCAGTTCCCAGCAGGGGACCCATGAGAGGCAACCATACATTGATATTTCTCTCCCTCTCTCCTTCCCTTCCCCTCTAAAGAGAAAATCTTTAAAAAAAGAAAGAAAGTAGATCCTAAGAGTTCCCATCACAAAAAAGATATCTTTTCCCTTTTTTTTCAGTATCTAAATGAGATGATGGATATTAACTAAACTTATTGTGGTAATCGTTTCATCATATATGTGAGTCAAGTCATTATGCTTTATCCCTTACACATACACAGCAGTGTATGTCAATATCTGAAAAAACAAACAAATGAAACAAAAAACCCTGAAGGGGGCCCTGGTTGGTGTGACTCAGTGGATTGAGTGCCAGCCTACGAACTGAAAGGTCCCCAGTCCGATTCTCAGTCAGGGCACATGCCTGGGTTGTGCAGCAGGTCCCCAGCTGGGGACATGCAAGAGGCAACTGATTGATGTATCTCTTGCACATTAATGTTTCTCTCTCTCTCCCTCCCTTCCCTGCTCTCTAAAAATAAATAATAAAATCTCCTTAAAAACTAAAAATAAATGTGAGAAGATCACCATGTACTACTGCACACGTTTATTAAGGACTAGAAGTTCTTATGAAACATTCTAGAACAGGAGGACTGTAAGCTGATAGCCTCAAAGAAGCCTTAGCATGAACTGATAATAAGGCTAACGTCTTTAAACAGACATGGGGCTCAATTTTACTCTTACCATAACGGACTGAGGGTCTGAGCAAGTTGTGGTGAGGACATCACTGAGCACAAGGCTGAGCATCTAGGTTACTGCGGGTTCAAGCAACTGGCTCATCCAGTGTAGACACAGACTGACTGGCTCCTGGCCAGCTCAAGGTGTTTTCCTTTGCCTGGAAACGGGAAGGTGTGGCTGAGGCAGAGCATGGAGGTGAGCAGCTCAACTAAATTGGTGGAGAGGAGCCCCGCTCTGGACCTCTTTGGCTTCCCTAAAAGCCGAGGACCAACTACCTCTGTCTTAAGATGAGTAAGTGGAAGAGAATTTCAGGGCTGAGGGCTTGCAACGGTGTTGGGTCCTTATTGTGTGCTGGGAGACTAGTGTTCAGTCTCAACCCTGGGACAGAGGGGAGCTGATCACTTCAGGAAAGGTTCTCAAAAGCCAGGAGACTAGCTCGGCCTCATACTATGAACCAGAGGTCTGGATTAGCGGGCCTTAGGGACTGGTGGAGTTAATAAGAACCAAGCTGGTTCTTATTAACTCCACACACACACACATCCCCCACTACAGGTCAGGACCAGGACCAGGCCCCAGTAAAAACGTCTGCCGCCTGAGCTTCTGGTCATGTACTCATACAGCTGCCTGGTGCCCGGGGAAGGCGTCTGGCCTCCACTGCAGCCCCTCACCTACACTTACCTGCCCAGCCCCCTGCTGCTGCCCCCCGTGCAGGCCCACAACTTCTGCAGCTGGCCCCCAGCCCTGAACGCTGGCGACTGGACGGCCCCGCGAGAATACCACTGTTTCCATGGCCCGGGGGCCAGCCTGGGGGCCGCGCAACCCTGGTGGGCCTTCCCGCAGGCCTACGCCGCGTCTCTGAGCCCGCCCTTTCCAGCGCTCGGCTACTCCGGGCCGCAGCTTCAGGCGCCCGCGGCGGCAGGAACAGCGGAGAGCTGGACGCAGTGGCCGGAGGGCGGTAGCCTGCAGGCAGAGCTGCGCTGGGGCCGAGTAGAGCGCACCCAGGGCCCGCGCCAGCAGCTGCCGGACTTCGTGCGCCGGGAGCTGCGGCGAGTGTACGGCACGTACCCTCGCACCGACGTGCGCGTCACGTTCCGCGGCGGCGAGTTTCTGCTGCAAGCGGCGCCGCGCGTGGGCGAGCCGCAGTACCGTGTGCACAGGCGCCTGCAGCGCCCGCCCGCCAGCAGCAGCAGTGGCGGCGACCGCAGCCCGGCCGGAGACGCGGCGGAGCGCGGCGTCCGGAAGAAGAGGAAAGGCCTGGGCTGAGCGCGCGGCTCTCCTGCCCCGCGAGGAGGGAGACCCTCGGCATCGCGTCGGGGCTGCGTGCCCCTGTTATCTGTCCTTTTCCTCCCCCCGCCCCACCAAGACTGTCCACCCGCCTCGTGAAGTTCCTCGATTTCTTTCCTGTTATTGAGGGATGGGGGGGGCGGGGAAGGGATCAAGGTATCTCTGGGTGGGTGTTCTGTTGCTCTTTATTCTACATTGCCTTTGGAAGCCTCGGTATAGGGTGGAAGAAGGGCCTAGTCCCTGCACCCTCTCTCCTTCCTCCTTCCCATCTTCTTCCACGTAGAAGCCCCCACTTTCCCCTTCTCTTCTCTCTCCAGGGAACCTCCCGAACTCCCCAAGCTGGGAGCCCACCTATCCCCAGCTTGTAATATAAAAAGTAAATAAATGAGTGAAGTCAGATGTATATCGCGAGATCATTTCTATGTTTGGCGGTGGGGCGTTTCCTCATCCGTGCAATGTGAGACTTACTTCCTTGACCCGGGGGAAGGAGTTGAGAGGGGTGAGAGTGGATCTCCTTGGTCCTGCGACCCACCATCCACAGAGATTGTGAGGGCATTAAGCTCTTGCTGAAGCATAGATGGCAGGCGTGACTGCGGAAGGGATGTGTAAGACAGATACAGAGCTGGCGCTGACATAGTCTAGTCATATAACTAGGGTATGAGTCAGTTTCTTTGCAAAAGAAGCATAAAACCAACCAACCTACTTGGAAAGTTCACTAGGGCTGAAATTTAAGATGAATGTCAGTCACTTCTTGTCTCCTGATTCCTACTAATAGTCTTTAATAAGTTGAATTTGTAACATTGTGGAAGTTTGCTGGAGGGTTAAGCCACACATCTAATTTTAACTATGGGTCTAGCCAGCCCACTGCAGGCTGTATAGATTTGGCCCCTTGTGGAACTGCTTTTACTGGACTTTCATCTGTAACTGGCCAGCAGCCACCCGGGTATGCAGCTACGTCACCAAAACTGTAGACCACTTGATTGAACACTGCTGCGTTCATGAGCCTCATAGAACAGTGTCTCAAACCTCAGCACTCGGGAAGGCGTTTCTCCTGGTCAGTGGTTTTCTTCTATCTCTGAAGCACCAAGGATCTCACAACTTATACTTTCTCTTTGCCCTGGTTTCTAGGGAGCTCAGGGCCAAATTTGCTTAGCATCTTTTGTTCAAAGCCTGGATCCTAAATTGCTATCCCCAGTTTTATTTTATTTTCCTTTCCTTTTAAAAAAATTTTTCTAAAAACACAGAGGGTGGTATAGTGTGACGGGCGTATTATGTGACCTTGGGCGAATTACTTAATGTCCCTGAACAAACTTCCTCATTGCAAATGGAGGTGATGATATCAGAAGATCTCATAAGGTTTTCAAGAAGATGCCATGAGATCCTGCATGTGAAGTGTTGACCATGATGCCTGGCATGTATTAAGAGCTCAAATACAAGTGATTTTTAAAAAAAACAGTTGCAATACAGAAACACAGAATACAGGAAGTTAAAATCTTTTCTAATTCCTCACCCCAAAATGATCACTGAGGTCCAATCTATTTTTTTTTCTGTACACATGGTGTTCATTACAGGAGAGGAATTTCGCTGCTTTTGCCACCTGCATTTGACATAAGTACACCTTGGACATCATTCCATGCCCACGCACATGGAGCCACCTCTTTCTTTCATAACCACCCAATGTTCTATAACATTTGGATTCCTTCCAGCTTTTAGCCTTTGAAAGTCCAGCCAAGTTTCTTGAGAGCTTATTATTTGCCAGCAAGTTGTACTAGGTCCTGGGGATATAACAGTGAGTGAGACAGTCTCTGCCCTTATGGAACTTGCATTTGGTGGGGAGAGATGGGCACGGGGCAACAGGCAAATAGATAAAGGGAAGTTGTTATAAATAGTAGAGGGAACAGAGGCTAAAATAAAAAGTGAAGTGGGGCAGTGGCACTTAGATAATTATGGATGGCTTCTCTGAGGAGGTGACATTTAAGCTGAGATCTATAGAATATGAAGCTAGCCATGCAAACAAGGATGAGGGGGAAGTCAGACAGTGGTGGGTGCTAAAGCCCAAGGAGTGAAAGTTATCTTCATTCACTCAACAGGCATTTGAGAGCCCAGGATACGCCAGGCAGCACTGGAAACGCTGGGGCTGCAGGAGAAAACCAAACAAGTCCTTGCCCTCATGGAGCTTCCTTTTAGAGGCGCAATGTAGAGAGGCAGAGGCTGGCAGCGAGCCAGTGGGTGAATATATGATGCGATGTCCGTGATGAGTGACGGGTTTCTGCTTTCAGTGGGACAGTTAAGGAAGGCTTCTCTAACAAAGTGACTGCTGAGCGGAGACAAATAAAGACCCTTACGAGCCCTTTGAATACCTGGGGGAGAATCACAGGTGCAACAACTCTCTGGCTGGAGTGTTCTCTCCTGTGAGCGAGTGAAAAAGTGGTAGTTAATGAAGTTAGAGATGAAACTAGATCCTTTGGCACTTGGAAGCCACGTTGAGAATTTTGCGCTTTATTTTGGGGGAGGGGGTTGGGGCAGAGGGTTATGAGCAGGAGAAACAGTAATGATCAGACTTAAAAAAAAAATCATTCTGCGTGTTGTATGAAAAAGAGATTGTAGAGGAGCCGCTGTGGAAATAAGGAGACCAGTTAGGAGGTTTCCCAAGGAATATGGGCAAAGGAAGATGGCGTCATGGTCGTACTGGGAAGGAACAAGGGTGATAAGACAAATACCCTTGAATACACAGCTTTGTTCACAAACATAAGCATTAAATTGTAGTGTAGAATATAAAGTCTCAGAATGAGAAACTGAATCATTGGCCCTGGCTGGTGTAGCTCAGTGGATCGATCATGGACTGCAGACCAAAGTGTCACCGGTTAGATCCCCAGTCAGGGCACATGCCTGGGATGTGGGTCGGGTCCCCAGTAGTGGGCATGGGAGAGGCAACCACACATTGATGTTTCTCTCCTTTCCTTCCTGTCTCTCTAAAAATAAATAAATAAATAAAAATTTAAAAAAGAAACAATCATTGAACAATGACACCCTACACCCTAGTAGCAACCAGCATAGCCAGCTCCCAGATCTCTGGTCCAAATTCCATTCTCCACTAAAAGGAGCCCTTGGAAAATGGCTCCTTCCAAGGCTGTGGCAGGGAAGGTAGAAGATGAGCCTGCAACAGCTTCTGCCAGAAAATAAAGGACTACTCAAAAATGTCAAGAGAACAAAGCAGCCAGTTTGAAGGACTTCCACTAGCCAAATCTAGGACAATTCAAGCATCAAAGCATATAATCACACACACACAAAAGATTATAACCTGAATAAAATAAGGACACATAAGTCTATACCAATAGTATCTAAGTAAATAAATATGAAAGGAAAGCTCTTTCTTTCACTAGAAGGAATAACTAAGTTAGAAAATCACCACCCTGGCTGGTGTGGCTCAGTGGATTGATTTCCAGCCTGTGATGAAAGGGTCACCTGTTCTATTCCCAGTCAGGGCACATGTCTGGGTTGTGGGCCCGGTCCTAGGTAGGGGAATGCTCAAGAGGCAACCACACACTGATGTTTCTCTTTCTCCCTCCCTTCCCCCCTCTCTGAATTACAAAACCACCATTCCCAACCATCATAGTAATTGATTCAGATGAGAATCATTCATGGATACTGAAACTAATGGGTGAAAGCTTGATGGGAAATAGGACACTTACATAGTTTCAAAGTATGTTTCAACAATGTATTTACTAATTACAAAGTAAGTAGTAACCTGTTTAATAAATGTAACATAGTAGGGTAAATGGGTGAATGATAGATACTCTGACCCCATTGCAATACTCTCTGAATGAAATCTTTCTTACCATCTTTAACAACAGTGTCTTGAAATGTTTTTCTTTACCAGAGACACATGAACATCATGAGATTTCTGATACGTTAACCTGAAAAACACGACCTTGGTTCAGGAGTAATGTGTAATCATGGGGAAACACGGATACACCTAAATTGAGACACAACCCCACTGGTGTTTATTGTTCAAAAATGTCATAAGAGAAAAAAAAGGCAGCCAGGGAGACTGTTTCAGGTCAAAGGAGACTAAAGACACATGAAAACAATGCAATGCATGATCCTGTTTGGGATCTCCGACCAGAGCAAAAATTGTAGAAAGGGCGTTATTGGGACAAATGACAAGACTTGAAACCAGGACTATAGATTAGAGAAAGAAACAAGCAAAAGGCTGGTGACTGGTAAACCTGGTAGGAGGATAAGGGAGAGTTCTTTGCGCTATTCTGGCAACTTTTCTGCAAGTTTGAAATAATTTCTTCTTTTTAAAAAATTATTTTTATTTATATTTAGAGAGAGAGGAAGTGAAGGAGAGAAACATCAATGTGCGGTTGCCTCTTGTGCGCCCCCAAGTGGAGACTTGGCCTGCAACCCAGGCATGTGCCCTGACTGGGAATCAAACCAGCAACACTTTGGTTTGCAGCCCACGCTCGATCCACTGAGCTACGCCAGCCGGGGCTTGAAATAATTTCTAACTAAAAATAAAAATATAATAATAAGTAAATCGAATCTCTAGGTCTAAAGGATATATACATTTAAAATGTACTACCTATCACCCTGGCTGGTGTAGCTCAGTGGATTGAGTGCTGGCCTGTAAACCAAAGGGTTGCTGGTTCAATTCCCAGTCAGGGCACATGCCTGGGTGCAGGCCAGGCAACCACACAATGATGTTTCTCTCTCTCATTCTCCCTCCTTTCCCCTCTCTAAAAATAAATAAATAAAATCTTTAAAAAAACAATAATTGTAACAACCTTACACTTACTATATGCTGGTATTGTGCTAAAGCCCTGTTTAGAAACTATTAATTCAACATAATCTTCACAAAGTCTTGATGTGGATATAATTATTATTCCCATTTACAGCTGAGGAAAATGAGGCCTACGGCAATTAACAACTAACCCAAGGTCGCACACGGAGAATGCATCTGGGAAATCTGACTGTAGTCTTCACTTACAGGCTAACCTGCCTCTTCTTCATACATAAGACACACTCAGCAAAGTGTAAGGGACATTTATGAAACAGCTGCTGTACGCAGAACACTGGACTAGACGCTGAGGACGCTGAGGACTAGCTCATGAGTCAAGCTGTGATGGGGGGCATGTGGGGGCTTCCAGGAGACCACAGGCACCACCGGGGAGGAGAGAGAAAGTTCTTGAAAGAGGCATCTGACAAAGGCTTTGAAGGATGTACAGGATTCCAACAGATAGTGATGGGAAGGAGATGTCCCAAGAAGCACTGAGGAGGGACCAGTGTGAATAAAAGCAGCAGAAGCAGGAAGCAGGTTTCATCAGAAGATTAGGCTTCAAAGCTAAATGGAGCCCATAGTATGAAAAACTTTAACGTCTGGCCCATGTGGCTCAGTTGGTTAGAGTGTCATCCTATAACCAGAAGGTTGTGGGTTGATCCCGGGTCAGGGCACACACCTAGGCTGTGTGTTTGTCCCCTGGCCCAAATGCAGTCGCTTTCCATCCCTGGTCCCGACGCATATGGCAGGCAACCAATTGATGCTTCTCTCCTGCATCGATATTTCTCTGCCTTCCTCTCTCTCTCAAAAGCAATGAAAAATAAATGTGCTCTGGTGAGGATTAAAAAAGGTTTTTAAAAACTTTAATGGCAAGGTAATGAGTTTGGGGGGAACATTCAAGTCTGAGCAGATCAGCCCAAGTTGAAGAGGAGCACCTGGCTGGGACACCGTGGGCCTGAGCCAGCAGCTTCCCGGTGGCCTGAGTGTTGGTGGTGCCACAGCATAGCCGGGCACCGGAACTGAGTCCTTAGGGCATTTGCTAGAGCTCACGGCCTATGGAATTCAGTTCTCAGAGCCAGGCAGCCGAAGTTCTCTCAGCCCTGCTGCTGCCCTCCCATGCTCTCTTCTGTGAATTTTCGCCCATTCCCAGGGTGCGCCAGATAAGGAACATGGGATCTCAAGATCCCTCCTATCCCAGGGAGGGTCTAGCTTGGAGCTGAAAATAGGGCCCCATTGCTAGGGAATGGTTCTTTAAATCTGGAAAGGAACTGGTATAGGATGTGAGAGGGGGAACTAAGGGCTGTGGCAAGAATTCTGTGGGTACCGCTGAGTCAGTCCCATCATCTCGTACCCAGCCTTGCTCCTAGTGGGACCAGATGTGGAGCTGGAGAAGCAAGAGGTTGGGAGAACGTGGACACTGAGAAGGGCATCTGGCCAAAGACTAAGGGGCTTCCTGAGACACAGAGGATCCCCGAATTGTGGATCCCCAAGATAAGGGCCCAGGAATCCCAGCTCCCTGAAAAATCTCTTCATATGAAGTACTCAAAAGATAGGAAAGTGGTAGAGGATGATTTCCCCGAAACACACTTTCACTTTCTAAAGAGCTAAAGGGAGGGCTGGGTATCATTCCCACTCACAAAGCAGAGCTGCAGCCTGCCCCTGGAGAGGGCCAGCCAGCAGGCTCAGGAGCCACCCTACCCTCACCCTGCTTGAGTTGAGAGAAAGGGGGCGTCACTTACCCATGAACTTCCTCTCTGGCTCCTGGGGCTGGATCTGCAGCGATGCTCTCAGGGAGCTCCTTAAGTAGGGCCTCCACTCAGCCCCAGTCAGCTCCCGCCCCCGCGCCATCCTGGCTCTTCTGAGAAAGGAGGAAGGTGTGGGAGGGCCAGGCACATTGCCCAGAGAGCCCTTTCTGACCTCAAGCAAGAGTGGGGACATCCCTTCTGCCCCCCCCCCACTCCCCCAAGCCTCTCCTTCCTCACTTCTCTGAGTTCTTCCCAGTTTTTGAGACCTACCAGCTGGCTCCTTTCTCTGTCCTTAATGTTTGGGAAATCTGCCCTTTGTGCCTAATTTCTCAAGCAGGTAGGCTCCTAGCCTCTCCCATCAGCTAAGGGGACCCAAGCCCCCTAACACCAGCTGCAACACACATTTTGAGAAAATAGCGAGAAAGCATCACTCTACTTCCTTTCACCCTGCGTGGCTTCCAGCAGCACCCAAAGCACAGGTGGAGTCTCTTCCCATCCTGGGGAGGCAGAGACGGAGAGCTGAAGGTCTTAAGGTCCAGCCAGCTGTGGAATGCTGAGCAGGACAAGAGTTCCCTACCGTACAGTTTGTGAGTGTCCTGCGTCTGTGGCTGTTCCTTTCCTCAGCCCACCCTTCGTCCTCTGATCGCAGAACCTGGCCCCTGCCGCGCAGTCGGCGGTCTCCAGAGTTTGAGCCGGAAACCAAGGGGCTCCCCCTCGGAGGTCTTTCCCATGGTCCTTCCTCCAAAACTCAGGAAATTCTTTCCAATGATGCTATCTCGTCCCATCTATCCAACTGCCATCCAAGAAACAGACGATGGGGGAGGGAGAAAGGCACAGTGTCAAGGATGGCTGCAGGGGTCTTGGGCCAGCAGTAGGGACAGCTCTACTGAGGAAACCTGAAGGTCCCTGTACTGGGAGTGGTAGGGAGAGAAGAGTCTTTGGTCAGGACCGTGCGCTGGTGGGAGGCGGGTTGTGTGACAGGGAAGATGGGGGATTGGGGAAGGAGAGAAATGGTCAGTCTTTACGGGGCTGGCTGAAGCCAGGGGCTAAGCGAGCTACCCACCGCCCCCTTCCCCAGGGCTGTCTGGCAGGAGTTCGAAGAGGCTGTCACCACAGCCCTCGGTAACCCCGCCAGCCCCAGGCTGGGGGCAGCAGTGCCTTCTCGGGAGACGCAGCGCCAAATGTGCTCCCTCCGCCCTCCCTCCCTTGTCGGCCCCTCTTCTCTAGCAGCCAACGTCTTGCTCTTTTTGAGGTTAGGGGCCCTGGTGGGCGGTGGGAGCTGCAGTGAGGAACAAAGCCGGGAGAGGGAGCAGCGATCCCCTTTCTCTCCACATTCTGGCACTGCCTCAAGTCCTTAGGGGAGAGGAGCGGACGGGACTTTCTCCTTTGGACCGTGACTCCTGAAGGCAGGGACAGTCTCTGGGTCCTCGGCACCCTACGAGGGGACTGGCCCTGAAGAGGGCTCCTCACTGCTGATTGGGGATGGGCGAGCTCATCCTCGACGGGGACTCTTTCCCTCATGACCTGGTGTGGGCGTTTGTGGGAGCGGACGGCTGTGGCTTCCCCGCAGGGCAGCACCGGGAAGCTGAGGCGGCAGAACAGAGAGAGGAAGCTGGGGCCTGGCCGGGGGCCTGGGATTCCGATGTCCCGTCCTAGGAGAAGCCCTGCCAACAGGGGCTGCAGGCCGTCCGTCCTGAGTCTGGGCTCAGGCCGCCTTCTTCCCACCCCCACCCGGACTCCCCACGCCCAGGGTCCCAAGGCCCAGACCCTAACCCGCCCTGATCTGGAGGAGGCCTCCCCGTTTAGGGAGTACAAGGGGAAGAGATATGGGGGAGAAGTCAGCCCCCAACAGTTGATTGGGTGAGAGGGCTTGAACCTGCCCTGGACACGAAGGGGAAGAGGCGCCAGGCCTGGGGAAAGGGGCCACCGGATCCAACCCGGGAGCCGGGGACCTGTGGGAGAACCGGGGAGACAGGGAGGGCAGGAAAAAGCTATAAGGCCTGGAGGTGGAGACTTTGGGTCAAAGAAATAAGGCGGATGGGAAGACACCGGAGGGACAGGATCCAGACCGCACGGTGACACGGACACTGGGACTCCACCCCCGGGCGGGACCTCCACGTCCAACTCCTCCCTACCCGCAAGAGAATGGCTGCTGAAGGCGCCGGTCCAAGCCCGGTGACGACGAGAATGGCAGCAGAAGACACGCCCGTTTGTGGGCACCTGCCCTCCTCAAAAATGGCTGCCGCGGCGCTTCTGGAAGCAAACCGCTCTGGGCCCCGCCTTTGATCTCGTTGGTCGGTGGGGATGAGAGCTGCACCGCGTGGGACAGGTCGCCGGCGGCGCCCGACAGAGCAGGTGATTTCCCCTGCAGCCCCCGGCCCAGGCTAGGGGGGTCGCAGAGGGTGTTGATCCAGGGTGCCTTTCCTGGTGTTTCCCCACGGTCCTCCCCGGAACCCCTATTTCTGACTCTCGCCTTGGCCTTTATCAAGGCGCATTCCAGCTCGCTCAGGCCTCCCTGATCATTGCAAGGGCCGCAGCCGCATCCCGTGCCCTCAGGTCCACTATTTTGGACCCTTACGGGTATCCCGCTAGCTTGTTTGGGGAGCTCCTGCTTCAGGGGTCGGCTAGCATTGCGATCCCACTTCCTGCGCTGCACCCTCCATCCGTTTGTGCTCCGCTTGACTTTGGATGTCGGACCCCTTGTATCCGGCAGTGTCCTTGGCGCCTTTAAGACCTGACTTCGGAGTGAGGGGACAGTGATGTCCTCTGGAGGCAGCGTTTGGAACTTGGGCTCCAGGAGCCAGGCTTCATAGGGGCTAGGAGAAACAGTGAAGACCTCCATCCTAGACCCTCAGCGCCACAGGACTGCTTCCACACTCTGCCCCAGGACTCCTCCTCCCACATCGCCTTCTGTTCTCCCTCCACATTGCGCACCTCTGCACCCCAAGAAAACAGCATGTGCTTCTTCCCCCAGGCTCACTTCAGTTTGTCCAGAGAGTCTGTATGCAGCCCCTGGAAAGTCCAGGCCTGTGCTGGGCCCTGAGGATGCTCTCTGGCCTGCTGGGGGCAGTGAAAACGGGGTGGTCAGTGTTGGCTGCAGGGAGGAAATGAGTCCTGCAGAATGAACAGCAGAGGGAAAGATGAGTGGGGAGAATGGTGTGAGCAAAGAGCGTGAGGTGGGCAAGAGGGCTGGGAGGATTTACATCATGAGAGCTGGTGGAGTGGAGTGGTCAACAGCAAGGATTCTGGAGCTAGATCGCCTGGGTGAAAATCTGCCATTAACTCACTCAGTGACCTTGGGCAAGTTAATTAACCTCTCAGTTCCCCATTTCCTTTTGGGTAAAATGGGGTAATATGATAATATTGGTATCTATTTTAGGGTTATTGTGAGAATTAGGTATGCCAATACATGTAAAGTGCACAGAACAATCTCTGGCACATTGTGAGCAGTCAGTAAATGCTACCTGTTGTTCACAGCCACATCTCATTTTTGCCATTAACCAGTGAGTCTCAATTTGGACCTGCCAGGAAGAAATGGGGTTCTGTGGGCTATGTACAGACTTTGAAAAGTCTTATGGAAATTATGTTCTTACCCCAGAGAAGGCTGGCTGCCCAGGCTGCAGCTTCCCCAACTCGGGCTGTGGAGGAGAAATACTAGGAGAGGCCTCTGGACAGGAAAGAAATTAGGAAGGCTAGGGGGGGATAGAGAAGGGTTAAGCAAAGAAGTGGCAAGCCTTGAAGGCTGGGGAGAGTTTGGACACCTCAAGAACGGGAGGAAGAAGGATGCTCCCTCGGAAGACAAGCTGGAGCAAATGCTCAAGGGAGGAAGACATTTTATTTGGGTACAGTGGGGAGTTTCCCAAAAACAACCCCCTTGTCCTCAGACCTTGGTTAGAAACCTGGAGGCATCAGCCACATCCCTGACAGCTCCTGCCTTAGAAACTGGGTTTTCATGCAGCATCCTTGAGCCTTTGTCCCAGCAGAGGTTTCCAGGCAACTGACAGCAGCCATGATGCGAGATAACCCAGGGTGGATGTGGGTCTCTGAAGAGGGCTGACCATGTGGAGGGGTCTGGTCTGCCTCGTCTGAGCAGTGCTGCGCCTCCCCAGGGCCCAAGCTAAGGCCTGGAGCATCCCCCTGCTAGACTATTGCTTCTCAGCCATCTCTGAGTTGTCACAGCAACTCTGTGTTACACTCGGGACCAAGAAACTGATCATAGATGGTAGGTAGGCCTGTCTCAGCCCACTTAGAAGTCTTGATGTCCTTCTATCCCAAGAGTAGCCCTTAGAATATACACTCAGGCGACCTGGAATTAAATCATGGCTGCCACAGTTAGGCCAGGTTACTTTGTGCAAGTCATTCAACCCACTGAGCTTCAATTTCTTCACTGCAAAGCGGGCGGTAACTGTTTATTGAATGTCTACTTTAGATGAGACTGTGAGGGTACAGTGATGAATGAGCCAGGTGTGTAGGGCCCACCCTCATGAAACATCAAACATTGCCCAGATGGTTTGTTAATTATAGCTGTGGAAGGTGCTGCTAAGTGAGGAAAAGGCAGTCTGCAATGAGCGTGTCATGTGCAGGGGACCAAACGAGTTCCAGAGGGTCAGGGACAGCATGCCTCCAGGACAGGAATTGTAAACTGAGACCTGAAGGAATTAGGTCAAGGGGTGGAGGTGGAAGGTCGCCTAGGCAGAGGCCCTTGCCTCTTGAGAGCTTGAGTGTTGGCAAATTGAAAGAAGGCCAGAGTGGACAAGATAGTCCAGGGAGGGTGATTATGGTGAGGCTGGAGAGAGGTAGGCAGGGGTAAGGCCCTAAATCGAAGGCCACAAAAGGAATCTGGACTTACCTGAAGGGACTTGGTAAGTCACTGGCAGATTATTAGCAGGAAAACCTTTTTTTTTTTTTTTTTTTTTTGGTAAAAGTCACACAACTGTGATTTTTGTGGAGAATAAGCTGTTGGGGGAAAGATGGTAATGGGGGGGCGGGGAAAGGTGAGGATGGTCTTGCAGTGAAGAAGGAATGAAGCAGAGTGGGAGCAGAGATGCAGAGAGGTAGATGGGCTGAGAGCCAAACGGCCAGGGCCTGGTGACCGATTGGATGTGGGAAGGCGAGGAGTAAGGTGGTGTCCCAGATAATTCCCATGCTTGTGACAGGAACAGCTGGGTGTGTGGACATGCGTTTACTGAGGACAGCCTGGGAGGAGTAAAAGACTTGGGTGTGCTGCAGAAGAGGAGGCTGGACTAGAGGCCTGGACTTTTGGGAGCTGGTGACACGGAGTTGGTATGTGGAGATGGGGGCCCAGATGAGCCTTCCAGAGAGAGAGGGAGCAGAGTGAGGAGAGCAGAGGAGGAGATCTGAGGCTGAGATTTGCTGCCATATTTACCAGGCAGCAGAGAGGGGGACTCTGGGAAGGAATGACAGAAAAGAAACGAGAGTGTGACGCCTCAGAAATCAACACTGATGCTGCTTGAAAGGGCGACTGGTAGATGAAACCATAAGAAATTGCCTTTTTCTTTCTTTTTATTTCGTAAATCAGAAATGGGCCATAATGGCAAGCGCTTATGGTTTAAACTAATTAGAGCAAATCCTGAAAAAGTAACTCATGACCTTAGCCTGAGAAAAAAATTTTTTTAAGATTTTATTATTTTTTTAGAGGGGAAGGGAAGGAGAGATGCAGAGAGAAACACCAATGTATGGTTGCCTCACATGCATCCCCTGCTGGGAACTGGCCTGCAACCCAGACATGAGCCCTGACTGGGAATTGAACTGTGATCCCTTAGTTCGTAAGCCCACACTCAATCCACTCAGCTATACCAACCAGGGCAGCTTGGGAAATTTTGGTAGAGACACTGGGCAGAAGCCAGACAGGAGTTGGGGAGAAGTGGACAGAGTGGAGGAAGGAATAAGGGAATAGAATGGTCAGGACTTGGTGATTGATTGAGTGCAGCAGGTGGGGTTGAGAGAGTGAAATCAAGGGTAATCCCCAAGTTTTGGGCTTGGCAACTGAGTGAGTGAGTGGTTTTGTCAGCTGGTGAAACAGAAGGTGCACATTCGGAGAGGGAATGTCCTCGGACTGGGAGGGCAGAGAGTGTGGACTAGGTAGAATTTAAGATGCCTCTGAGTCTTGCGGATGGGATGGAGAGCGGATATTTGGACCTGTGGGTCTGCAGCCATTCATCACCATCTACATGTTCCTGACTCCCAAATACAGACGTGGAGTCAAGCACAGGTAGGCAGGGATGACATAAGTCAGTGAGTATTTACTGAGCACCTACTACATGCAGGCATTTCTGTAGGCACTAGGGTTATCCCAATGAATAAGACAAAGTCCTCCCCACCCCCTTCTTGGAGCTTACTTTCTATGGCGGAGGACAGACAATGGGCAATTCAACATAAAATAACATTAAGCCGTAGTAAATGCTACATAGAAAATAAAGCAGGGTAGCGGATTAGGGAGTGTGAGGAATACCTATTTTGGTAAGTTGGTAAGGGGGAGATCTCTCTGAGGAGACAATATTTGAGCAGAGCCCTGGAGGAGGTGAGGGGACAAACCATGTGGATATCTGGAGGAGACAGGAAGAAGCTGGGCAAGGCTGAGGAGCAGCAAGGAGGCTGGTGGGCTGGGACTGGAGTGAGTGAGGAGGGAGTGGGGAGGTTGGAGAGGTAGGCAAAGGCCAGATGTTGTACGGCTCCATTGGCCTTGGGACTCCATTGGCCTTGGGACGGAAGATGGAAAGTTCTTTGTAGTTAGTCCCAAGCTGCTAGAAGAGCAAGGACTGGTGAGGAAGAGAATTGGTGGAAGACTGCTCCTTCTATGCAGGCCCTGGAGCCAGAAAAGTCCCTTTGTGCCAGAAGGTGGGTGGCCCATTCTGTGTGGGGCAAGGGTTGGTCTTGGTCCTGAGGCCTGCTCCTTGGAGAGGGACTGGACAATGGGCCCCTTGTGGTTAGACTTGGGGGCCAAGTGGCCTTCTCAGTGATAGGATTCCTGAGCCAGGAGGCATGTGACCCCAAGACCTCGGTTTCTTGCCAGAGGCTCTGGGCATGCTGCTGGGGAGTGGGGTGGGGGGTGGGGAGGTGGGGAGGGGTCGGGGGAGTGGCAAGGGGAATGAACCACCACACTGGAGGCCTTCTCCTGATACAGCCTCAGGCTGGAGGCGGTGGAGACGTGGGCGTGGGCGGGGAGGGGGCTGTGGCTTCGATTAGGAGAGCAGGGGAGGGCTGGAGAGCTGGAAGAGACAGGCAACATCAACAAACGGTTTTCACAGGAGGGCGGGAGGGAGGAGCTGGCTGCCCCTGGGCCTAGTGGGTAGGGGTAGGCAAGAGAGGGCCCGATAAGCCTACATCTTGTGTCTCTGCAGGAGAGAGAACATGGAGCTGGAGAGGATTGTCAGCGCTGCCCTCCTTGCCTTTGTCCAGACACACCTCCCAGAGGCTGACCTCAGGTAGAAGCCGCTCTCCTAGAAAGGGCGTGCTGGGGCCAGAGTCAGAACTGCCTGGCAGTACTCTGGGCCGTGGCCAGTGGGAAGACTGGATGAGAATGCTCAGCTCTATTTCTGAGGTGGGGGAGGGCTGACTATGATTTGCTGGTATGGCCTTATTTCTTATCCTGTCGCTGTCGTGGTTGTTGGACAGATGGAAAACCAAAGCCCTAAGGGAGGATGGGATATTCTCTAGCCTCAGTGCTTGAGGTCTGACTCATAGATCCCAGGAAACCAGGGGATGGAGCCTTAGGCGACGTGGGAGTGCTGGAGGCTTCCACCGTTTTACCCATGGCTTGTCCTGTTCCCTTCCTGCAGTGGCTTGGATGAGGTCATCTTCTCCTATGTGCTTGGGGTCCTGGAGGACTTGGGCCCCTCGGGCCCGTCAGAGGAGAACTTCGATATGGAGGCCTTCATTGAGATGATGGAAGCCTATGTGCCTGGTTTCACCCACATCCCAAGGTGGGGCCTGCTCGGGGCCAAGCGGACAGGGGCTAGTGGATTGTGGAGGGTGGGCAGAGTAGTCCTCTTACCACCCTCCTTGTCTTTTCAGGGGTACAATAGGGGACATGATGCAGAAGCTCTCAGAGCAGTTGAGTGGTGCGAGGAACAAAGGTGAGTCTGGAAATGGAGCACTTGGATGACTCATAACCCCTAACCCCAAAGCTCGGGCAAACCTGGTGCTCTCTCTGCCTCTATTAGAGAACCTGCAACCACTGGCTTCTGAGGTCCACAGCCAGGTGCCTGCCTCCCCAAAGCCCCTTCAGGAGCCTGAAAAGCTCAAAGAAGAGACGAGGGCTTCTCCTGCTGCTGGGGACACCCAAGATGAGGTTGGTAGAGGAGGGTACCAATGAGGGAGGTGGGGGGTAGGAAAGGAGGAAGTACTGACTTTTGTCAACATTTATGCTCACAGGCAGCCAGTGCTGAAGAGGAGCTGCTGCCAGGGGTGGATGTACTCCTGGAGGTGTTCCCTACCTGTTCAGTGGAGCAGGCCCAGTGGGTGCTTGCCAAAGCTCGGGGGGACTTGGAAGAAGCTGTGCAGATGCTGGTAGAGGAGAAGGAGGAGGGGCCTCCAGCCTGGGATGGCCCCAACCAGGTATCCTCTGATAACCCCCTAACCCATGCAGCCCCAGCTTACATGCCCCCTCAGTGTTAAACCCCTACCTCTGGCCCATTGCCATATGCTTCTCTTACTGGTGTCCTAGAGTTCAGACCAGGCTTCCCCTCTGCAGGACCTGCCCAGGCGCCTCAGAGGCCCCCAAAAGGATGAGCTGAAGTCCTTCATCCTACAGAAGTGAGTCTGGGCTGGGCTGGGCTCTTAAAGGGTTTTCCTAGGGTGGCAGGAGCTTCACCTGACCAGTTTTTGGCAGGTACATGATGGTGGATAGTGCAGAGGATCAGAAGATTCACCGGCCCATGGCTCCCAAGGAGGTGAGAGAGTTGGGGCTGCTAGGGGTGTGGAGTGGGTGGGACTGTCTCCTGGCTTCTAATACTCACTGATTGCCTGACAGGCCCCCAAGAAGCTGATCCGATACATCGACAACCAGGTAGTGAGCACCAAGGGGGAGAGATTCAAAGATGTGCGGAACCCTGAGGCCAAGGAGATGAAGTCCACATACATCAATCTCAAGCCGGCCAGAAAATATCGCTTCCACTGAGGCATTGGCCAGACACTGCTAGAGCCTTCCAGGCTCAGATCCCAGAGGGATGCAGGAACCCTACACACTCCCACAGGGCCATTTAACTCCCCACCCCTTCTCTACCCCTTCTTTCACCTCCTTGCCCTACCATGTTAACCTCCTCTTGGAGCTGCCTATGAGCACAGTAAAGGTGGCCCCAAGAAGATGAGTGCATTCTGGTCATTTCTGCCTCAGAGCTGGGGTGCTGGAGGACTGTGTCCGTCTGACCTTCCCTCCCAACCTCATATTCCCTGTCTCCAACAGGGCAGCGCCAGGTAGGAGGGGGTAAAAAGCTCTTTATTTGAAGCTCCAGGGTGGGGTAGGGCAATGGCCTCTCACCAGAGGCCCCCACAGTCCAGTTTTCCTACAGTTCATAGTCAGGCCCTGACACACAGTCCAGCTGTGCCCCAGGAGGGAACGGGTCAGACCTGCAGGTTGACAAAGGGTGCAAAGCCTGCCATGTCCTGCAGTAGCACCAGGGCCTGATGCAGCCGGGGTTCCACGTCGATGTCCACACCCCGCTTCCTCAAGCGGCTCAGGCTGGGCTCAGCCACACGGTGGCAGTGCCGCACCCGCAGTGAGCGCAGGGCAGGGCAGTATTCAGCCAATGTCCTGGGGGAGGAGTTGCATGAGGCTAAGGGCACGAAATCGCTACACCCACCACGGTAAGAGAAGACAGCAAGGCCCCTATGTATCCCTGTATCTTGAGGTATAGTTTTTCTTCCATACACGAGAGAGAGGGCCTGGATTGGGGTCATGCACTTAACGCCTCCAGTGAACTGGAGACTTCCTGTCCCTTACAGGGGTTACTGCTCTTCAGCTCCCCTGAAGAAAAAGCCAGTCATTTGACTTTGAGAGTGAAAACCACCAATGTGTAAATATTGGTTCAAAAGTTTTTAAACTGTGGTCTTTCTGGTCTAGGCAATCCTGGGGACCTTTCCTGTTCAGAATGGGGGTGCTGTGGTCGAGGAAGACCCAAAATCCCAGTTCCACCTTTTGACTACTGCCCACCCCTTCCCCCAGTGACTAAAGCATTGCCCCCCTCCCATCCCACCGATCCCAAGCCCAGGCACCTGACGCCATCGCTTCCGACGCGGAGGCAGCCGGTTAGGTCGAGGTGCTCAAGTTCCGGGCAGTTCCGAGCCAACTCCTGGATGGCGGTGTCTCCTACATTGGCGTTGATCGCCAGCGAGAGGCTGCGAAGCCCCGAGCCGCACCTCTGTGCCAGGTATACGATAGCCTCATCCTTGAGCTGACGGCAGGCGGTGAGGTCCAGCTCTTCAAGGGCCGGACAGCGGTCGACGAGACCGCGCAGGGCCAGCCCGTCTACCCAGTCACAGTGCGCAAGAGACAGGCGCTGCAGGCGAGGGCAGCCCTCTGCCAGCGCCCCCAGAGTGCGGCGGCTCAGTTGCCCGCAGCCGGCCAGCGCCACACTCCGCAGCTGCGGATTCCGGGCCAGCACCGGTACCAGATCTTGATCGGACAGCCATTCGTGACACGGTGCCAGCGCCAGCTCCTGCAGCCTCTCGGCGTCCCGCAGCAGCCAGACCAATGCGGTCCGCGGGATATTCGGACCCACCTGCGGGCGGGGAGGCAGCTGGACTTTCAGCTGGTGCTGGGAACCGCTGGGCGCTGCCTATCCGCCACTAATGAGTTCTTTCCTGGCAGCAGCCAGCACTCGGGGGCTTGCCACCTGCCCTCCCAGGAAAGACCCCACGCTCCCTCTGAATTGATACCCGGTATTCGCACTTTGCGAGTACTTCCAGCTGGGTGGATCGCTTCCTGGGCATTCTTGGAAGGCCAAGGGGGTCCAGAGGGTACAGATAGGGACTGGGTTTGGGCTGGAGGCGGGGCGGGGGCAGAACCCAGACGGGGGCGGGGCTCCAGCCCCGGGCTCACCTCAGCAACGTCGAAGCGGCGCAACCCCGCCAGGTGCAGCTGCACTAGGGCCCGAAAAGCCCGGCTGACGCGCTGCAGCTGGAGCAGCTGGCACAGCGGAACCCGGCTCAGAATGTGTGGGAGCAGCACGTCTTCCCAGGGCAGGTCGAGGAGCCTGTGGGTGAAGGGGCGTTGCCGACGGCGTCCCTGGGCCGATGTTACCCACGAGTCCGCCTTTGTTATGGTCCTGCGCTCTGGCTTCTAAGAGCTGCCCCCAGGCCTGGTCCCGTTTAAACTCCCCTCCCCCAGGTCCTTCTTCACTCTCTCGGCCCCTCCGGTGCTAGGTACCTGACGGCTCCGGGCTCTTGCTCCCCTCCGGACGGCTCCATCGGTGGCTCCTTCGGCTGTCTACTGCGCGTGCGCAATAAGGTCCTCTTGCTTTAACTTAGGAACAGCTGCTACGAGCCCGCCTCCTTGGACTGTAGTGACAGACTGATTCAATCGAATGCCGTCTCACTGAGGATCCTATCTGAAAGCGTTCCGGATAGATCGGCAAACTGAGGGCGGAACAGACCGGTGGTGCAGCATTAGATGCACCTTCTCCGCTACAGGGCTGGAGACCCGAGTCTAGAGAAGGCGATGATGCAGCAAAGACTAGCTTCGTTTTTCGTTTTGGGCCAGTGAATGGCTCTAAGTGAAGTGGCGATGGGAGGAGCAGGAAAAGCCAAGCGCAGAAGGGCGGAGCCAGAACTTAAAAGGTTCTGGGCCTGCCCGCTGCCTTATGGTCATTTTTAGCGACTTTGGAAAAATGAGAAGAAAACTATTTCTTACTGGCTGGCACGTAGTAGGTGCTCGATAATTTTTGACTGACTTGAATGAACGAAGCTAGAATTTTAGTTCCTTCATCAAGTGAACTTGCCTACAACCTTCCGTTCCTGGTTTATTGTAAAGTATAGAGTTATCCAGCCCCTTCCACTCCGACGATTTGGAACGGGTTTGCACGTTGGGAGGAGAGATATAGGGAGCGCTAAGCAGGACTATATCTCCAGCTGGATCCCTTTCCTTCCCCAGGAGGTCCAGAGTTCTGAAAATAATACTTGCTCAGCTCAGCCCGTCAGGAGTACTGCTTCTTTGTTGGCCTTGGGGGTTAGCTGTAGGGTCTGGGTCTGAGCCGCCCTGGCGCAGTGACGCCCCTGAGCTCTCGGCTCAGACTCTGGGCTGCCCTCTCACCGCGTCCCCAGGTTCTAGTTCCAAGATCCGTTCCCCGTAACTCTTGAATCTATCTCCCATTGGTGGTGAAGGTGTGAAGGACGCCGAGAGCTACTATTGTCGCTGAAAGCTGCCCCCAACGGGGTTGCACTCTCGGTGCAGCCGCTTCACCTGTCCTTTTATAAAGAAAACTGCTTCCCATTCATTATCTCACCAGGCTTCGGTCACCTCTGGGCAGGTGGGCAGGTCTGTGCTGTCACTCCACTTTAAAGATGAAACCAAAACCCTGGGGAGGAAGCGCCTTGTCCAGGGTCAAGAGAGATAAAAAAAACTAAAGCATCCTGGTTCTCCCAGAATTCTTTCCATACTCTCTCATCCCCCAATGCAGCAAGAAGATAGAAGCAGGCAGCAGGGAAGGACCAAAGCGGGTCAGCTTGGGTGAGGGACTTGCTTCTTCTTCCTCAGCCTGCTTAGGGAGGAGATAGCTGGAGGGACCCACCTCTGCTAATAGAGCCACATGGCTGCGCACCACCACGGACCGCGCTCGCTCTCCCCCTCCCCGCTTGGTTAGCGCCTCTGCGCCTGCGCAGTGCGACAAATCTGGCGCTGTCCCCTTCAGCACCACGCGGAGCCGGCGCCGCCCCTCCCCGCGGTGAGCCCTGCGCGTCCCCCGACCACCCAAACAGACCCCTTCTTCCTTCCGAGGTCACCATCTGCCTGCCCTGGCTTTCCCTAGGAGAGCAGTTGCCATAGTAACTGTAGTGGCCCGTTCTTAAAAATAGATGGGCCTCCTCTTACCTTGGCCAAGGGCACAAGGGCTGCCTATTCCCTTCTACCTTCAGTTTTGGCGTCATCCTCTCCAACCTCTTACCCTTAGATGGGCAGGACACCTAACTCAGGCATCAAGGAAGTTCTTCCTGAAGTCTGACTAACATTCTTCCTACTGCATCCTGGGCGAGCGGTCAGGGTTGCGTCCCATGGACCCAAGACTCAGAACCTCTGAGGGTTTGAGGCGTTGTACCCTAAATCTGTCTTCCATTAACTGATGGTCTCTTGGATTCAGGGGGCGGGTCCCGTCTACACCCATACCGTGTGCTTGGCGCGGCCGCGTGCTCGTGGGGGCGGGAGCGCGTGTGGCATGTAACAGGTCATGTGGCAACCCCCCAGGGACACGCGTGGGGTCTGGAGCGGGACACGCGTGTGAAGCTGGGCCCTGCGTGTGACTCAGGGGGCCGTGGGGTGAAAGGGACGTGGACACGATTGGGGCGGGGCACGTGAGGGTTGGGGAGCAGAACCAGGGGTTCCTACGTCCTCCCCCTCGTCAGGGGCCGGTCTCAGGTTGGCGGGAGAGCCCAGCGGGGACCCAACGTCCAGAGCGGGGGTCAGCCTCCTGGGCTCAGGGCCCTGGGAGAGGGCGGGGGTTGGAGGGGTGGGATTAGCTCTGCCAGAGCTGCGCTTAGGGAGGAGGAGGGGGGACTGGGAGGCGGGCGGGCGGGCCTGGAGAAAGCGGGAGCAGGCGAGAGCTGCGCTACCTTCACTGCTGAGCTGGGCCCAGCCTCTCCCCTGCCTCTCCTCGGCCCCAGCTCCAGGCGAGCAGCGGTGAGTACTGAGGCAGCCTGAGCCCCGGCTGCGCTAGGGATATGCTGGGGCCCCACGGAGCTTTAGTAACCTGAACCGCAGGGTTGCTTCTCCTGACCTCTGCCCTTACCCTGCATTGCCACCAGAGGCCCCTTTACCCCTTTATGGTCCTTCTTGGGCTGGACAAAATCGCACCCCTGGGGGAAGAAGGGGAGGAGAGGGGTCTGGTGCAGCCTCCCCTCCAGAGACCATGAATTGGTGGGGGTTGGGAGAGAGGGTGTGTGTCCCTCCTTAAGCATGGGTGTGAGTGTGGGTCTGTATCTGTGGCTGTGACCAGCGGGTCTCAATATCTGACATGCCTGTGTGCCTGCGAGCATTGGACAGTGAGGGCCCCTGCATGTATATTCAGGTCTCTCTTTGTGTGTTCTTGTTTGATGACAATGTGTGTGTAAAACAAGCATGTGCCTTTCCATCACACACATATTTGTTATGACGGTGAGAGTG